CCTCTAGTAATATATTTACTGAAAAATGGTGACATGTTCAATACTTATTTTACCCGCTGTATCTCAGATAAGTACATAAAAAGTAAACTGGAAGTATGCTCTTTTATTTTAAGTTTAAGATTAGTATACTTAAAGGATACTTGCATAATACTACTTTTTGCTAAGGGTAGAGCTGAAAGTGTACTGAAATAACACAAGTCATATCAAAAATGTCAGCTCAGCTATTTGTTTTGATCAACAGAATCTTTTAAGCAATGGATCTCTAGGCAGTATTTTCCCCCATCATCTTTACAACAATGTGATTTTGGGTTAAATATTCAGGGGTAGACATAAGGAAAAGTTTCAGTTTGTCTGGCGGACAATCTGTTGACAAAACCTGGTTGTCCGCAAAACATTTTGGTTGTCCAAAATAATCTCAAGCAAAATGTAATTTAACAAGTATATTGTTCTGTAGACAAAGTTTATTATATATAATTGTTCTCAGTCAGCCAAGTTGACAGGACCTGTGTGAATAAAATGTCCTTATTCTCTTCTTTGAAATAGAGTTCAACATTCATAAACTTATTTCTGCTCATAGGTCAAACATTTTCACTTGAATAGGAGTATACTGTGTACATGACCTTATTAAAAGTTACAGTTTAGAGTTCTGTTCAGATTTACCAAGTTTTACCTCCCGTTCATTTTTACAAATGACAAACACCCACGGCAGAGAACTTTAATCAACGTCTTTTTTTTCTTGGTTGTCCACCAGACAACCAGGAGACAGGATCTGGTTGTCCGAAATGAAAACAGGTTGTCTCGGACAAACTAAACAAGGATGACGCTTAGCTTCAGAAATTAATTCTTGACTCATTTTTTTTTACCATGGTTATGAAGCAGCGCTGCAACTAAACAAGAGAAGACCTTTTAATAAAAGCACAGGGTTCATGTAGATCCTTAAAAAGTCTTAAAAAAGTCATTGAATTCATCAATCCAAAAATAAGGCCTTAATTAGCCTTAAGATGTCTTAAATCAATCTTTCAAAAGTCTTAAAAATGTTAACACATTGTACATAGGATGATTATAATTAATCTCAAATATTAAAATAATTGGTAACATTTTTTTATATTTACATGCAGACATTCCCCTTTGACATCACTTCCTGTTAGACACAAATATCTCAACAACTGTCCATCTGAGCAATGTGGTTTGTTTTGTACTATGTTAATAGTTTTGTCTTTTCAAAAATGCACATTCACTTTTCTTACAAAAACTTGATGTCACAGACACTTTAAGGTTTCATCTACAGAAAATTGGGGTTAAGACCCCACTGTGGGTCCTATAACTCCAAATTTTAGGTCGTTAAACTGACTGTTAAGAATGTCTCTGCTATAGTTAGATATGGATAAAAACAATTGGTTTTTTTTAGCAATATTTGAATACTTCAGCCAAAAATACTTTGATTCTTGAGTTTCTGCCACATTATTATTATTTTTTTTGTCATTTGTGTTTATTATGAAATTGGTCTTAAATTTAATTTCAGTTGGCATTAAAAAGTCTTTAAAAGTCTTAAATTTAACTTGCTTTAAACTGTAGGAACCCTGAAGCATGGGAGAGYGACAACACTTTGTGCAACATTAACTAATTTTGTATTAATTTAGCTAAATGGAACTTTTTGTTTAGATTTATTTGCAGACAGCTGTTAAATCAATAACAGTTCTGGAGGAAAAGCACAACATAGTTTAATGAAGTGTTTTGTTGGACCAGAACTCAGTTGTTTCAGTGGGACTTCAATGATAGATTAGCTATTTTTGTTTACAGAATTGTTTCAATTCATCCAGTTTTACAACTTTATTACACAGTTCTGATTTCTTTCCATTTATGTTCAAGTTGTARCTAAGTTGTACCATTTGAAAAGTTCAAACTTTGAATCTTTATTTATTTATTTTTTAACATGTGAAACTTTGACACTTTGTTGTGCTACTTTTTCTGACCTCAGCTACGATGGTGTGGCTTGTGAACATGGCCGACACTGACAGGCCAAAGAGCAACTCAGCAGAAGCAGGTTCAGCCCAACCGGACTCACAAGAAGGTCAGTGGAGAGTCCTCACCTGTCTGAGGGATTAAAGTTAAACCCACTTCAGGTGGGTCTTTATTCCCTCTGGATACTAAGTGACATTGTTTGTCAGCAGCCATGGCATCTCCAGAACCTTCCAGTCCATCACAGGATAATGGTGGCTTCTCGTCCTCCTGGGTCAGACAGCAGCAGCACCAGCTGGGCCCRCTTCAGTCCACTGAAGAGACCAGACGAGAGGTCCAACAAATGCCCTCTGCCCGTCCCCCTGTGGAAGACGATGATGAAGAGAGTGAGTGCTGAGTACAGACCATTTATTTATACAGCACATAAAAACAACAGAGTTGACCAAAGCCCTTCACAATTCAGCCAAATGAATAAAACAACACAGAAATGAAAACAAGATCAATTTAAAATGGAGAATTTGCATTTCTTCAGAAAATGCCAGTGTGAATGCCTCTTGCTGATAACTTTAGCTTAAGAACAGCTAAGAAACAAACTGATGATGTCAGTAAGTGTGTTTCCATCAAGGCTTTTTGATGCACATTTAGAAGTGACGCATTAAAAATGCGAAAAAAGATCGGATGGAAACAGTAAAATTCAAAAAAAAAAATCCTCAATTCACTAAAAAGTTTTTACGCTCGCTTGAGGTGGTTTTTGGGTTTTTCAAAAAACACTTAATGTGCAAAACGGGAGATGGAAACACTTTTGCTGAATAAGTTGTGAAGCGAACATTTACCTCAAATAGCTGATGAGCTGTTCCCCGGTACCGGTTTTGGGTCGGCTGCAGCCGTGACTGGCAGCAGGACCCTCCTCCTGCTGTTTGTGTTATCTCAGTAATCCCGTAACGTGAAGAAAATTGCATTTCTTTCTCTACGTCTCCAGACAGAAGTAACATCACCAAAGCTAGTTGATAACAGAATAATTACAACTTTCCTGATAGTAGCAACACGTTCCTGATAACTTCTCTCCATTATCCTGAGATATGTGGACCCTGCGAGCTTAGTGACGGTTACTTCCTGTTTACTACGCACATGCGTATGACGTAATTGATTCGCTTTCAAGCCAGTTGATGGAAACTGTGTTTGATTCACATTTCGTAATTTTTTCCTTTTTGCGAAATTATTAAAATTAGCTCAAAATTCGAATTAAAATTGGATGTAATTGGATGGAAACACGATTAGTGATGTCACTGATGATGTCCCTTATGTGACTAATGATGTCACTGATTACATCATCATAACCAAAAATTAAAAATTGAAATAGCTAAAAAAGTATAAAAACTAGACATGGGTTTTTACGATGTAAAAACAAGTGTGCATTGCCATGTAGCATGTCATTGCAGCATGGCTTTGCCTGCAGCATTGGACTTGCAGAATGTCAAGTCAGCAGGTGCTTGTAATTATGATTATTGTGTGACAATATGAAGTTTGTAGAGATTTTTTGTTAAAGTTGCTGTAACTGGGTTTTGAACCCTGATCTCCCACATGAAAGCCCATAGAGTTAACCATGAGACCATTGGAGCTGTGGCAGAGGGAACTGCCAAGGGTTGGTTTGTACGTGTGCAGAAAGAGGCCACATTGCCAATGCAATTGTTGACACAGAACTGCATAATATTACAACAATAGAGCAATATTAGGATAATATTTTAGTAAAACATCAAAATACAATCATATTAGTATTGTAATCACTGAACTACTGAGTTTAAATATTATTAAACTATGGTTCAGTACTGAGTAGATACAGCAAGGGACAGTACTGGACCAATACAAGGCTCCATTGACTGACATTATAAGATTTTAAACATTTAATATTTCAAAAATTATAAGTTGTACAGGCATCAAAAGGCATAGCATCATTTGGCACAGGAGCTTTACAGATATAAATTACAATGGCAGCTCTAGGACAAAGTATGCAGGAGGAGAAGCGTGCCAAGGTGGAGATGACTTGGATGGGAAACGAATCACAATAGTGTGCATTGCATTGGCAATGCACACTGATTAAAGATACTATAAGTCATTGCCAGAATGGCTAGAAGGAGTTGAACATTTTGAAATTTGAATTGTAGAAACAGCACAAAAATTGCAGAAGGAGATAGGGTCCAAAAACGTACARAATAGTGATAGTAACAATAAAAAGAAAAAGAAACATGAAAACAATAGAGTGAATGCTGAAGGCATTCACACTGAATAGAGAAAATAAAAACCATTATCTTTAAAAAAATCTCAAACTCTAGCAGAATGAAAGGCCAGGCAGTAAAAACTAGTTTTCAGCAGAGATTTAAAAGTCTCAACARTCTCTGCACATCGAATGCAGAGTTTTCAATGTACAGCTATTTACCAGGTCAACTACTTGATTATTGTGGCTATTATCTTCAARTTTGTTTAATCTTAATCTTCTGACAGCTTTTATAATGTGTTAGGTTTACAGTGGGCTCAGGCAGTATTAGGACGTGGGGGGTGTGGTCTGTGGTGTGTTTTCTCCTGCTCACATGTCTCCATCACTGCTGAACTTCCTTCAACTTTCATGTCTTTTTATTTTCTTCTTTTTGTTGATTTTTTTGGCACTTGTCAAATAACTTTTGACCTCTGTCAGGAGGGAAACAGGAACCTTTATTTTTTTTCGGCTCAAGAGAAGGATGAGACTGATGG